AATTTTGGTGAATATTTTTGTCATTTTTGGTAAAAAGTGATATTTACGACTTCTTGTTAAAAACCAATAGTTCAATTGCTTTGATATTACATATATAGGTACTACATGTGGACCTTTCTCAGATTTGTTCATTTTGTGATGATATCTTCAATTCTCTAATTTTGGTGAATATTTTTGTCATTTTTGGTAAAAAGTGATATTTTCGACTTCTTGTTAAAAACTGTAAGTCCGATTGCTTTGATATTACATATATAGGTACTACATGTGGATCTCTCTCAGATTTGTTCATTTCGCGATAGTATCTTCAATTCTCTAATTTTGGTGAATATTTTTGTAATTTTTGGTAAAAAGTGATATTTTCGACTTCTTGTTAAAAACCAAAACTTCAATTGCTTTGATATTACATATATAGATACTACATGTAGACCTTTCTCAGATTTGTTCATTTTGTGATGATATCTTCAATTCTCTAATTTTGGTGAATATTTTTGTCATTTTTGGTAGAAAGTGATATTTTCGACTTCTTGTTAAAAACTGTAAGTCCGATTGCTCTTTGATACTATACATATTGTTTATTTTCTAATGATGTCTTCAGTTCTTTAATTGAAATGTGCATAGCTAACAGCGGAGCTATCTCAGCCGATAGGCTGCTTGTTTAATAATCATGTCGCATGTGAAACGTAGGAGACATTTTAGTTCGCCCATTTCTTGTTTACCGATCTTGAACTTTTTGTCTGGAATGCGATACAGACAAAGATTAAACATTACTGATAACAACCAAGAGGCTCGAATCAGGAAGGCTTGGCTATTTTAAACTTTGTATTAAATAACATTCCTTTCAAGCATAGACTTTATAAAGTCTAATAAACGTAAGTGAAATGTATTTTAATGAGTAATAATACGCAACAACAATTCGTATACAACATTGGTTTTATTGGAGTTTTATGCTTTTCGACTTCACAGTGAATCATTTTTAGCGTCATATTTAAAATAGCGCGCTCGATACAAGATGTCGGACAAGAAAATTGAGTCTGTAAAAGTCTTTGTAGGTTCAGTCAGGCAATGTGTGGACCAAAACATCGCCCACTATTTGAAACATCGCCCATGGGCGGGGTTTAGGATGGGCGGGGTATCAGCCGAATCCGGTATATATACATTTCTTGATAACTCACAATGCAAAAACTTGTTTTCTATTGTTTTTTCTGCTGGATATCTGAATTGAGTACTGATTGTATGTGCTGTGATGATCTAACTGTTTGATGCATGGTGTATAATCAAAACCAGTCTGTAAATCATAATTTGTTTAAATGTTAAAAATGATGCTCTAAAAACAAATAAAAAAATAGACTATCATTGACCAAGTAATAAACATGCTTATGATTTTATGTTGTGATACAATATGATGAAATCTTGCGGCATTATTGATATTTTATTTCAATATATACAGTATAAGAATTTGCACATTATTAAGTTCACGATAAAACACAATTCTATGAATTTTGTAGCAATAAACATTATTACATTACTAACAAATTCTTCTAAATTGCCAAATTATTTAAATTAATCTTTTCCAATAGTTGCATCATGTGATTTGTAATGTTACTTTTTTACAGTATGTACATTATGAGATCGATTTCCCCAGTCAGTCAGTTAATCCACATCCACAGTCTACTGAGCGAAAGAATGTCACAGAAGATAATAAAGTCATACTCTATCCACCACAGGTGAGTTATACTAAGAATGTGTGAGCTATACCAAGAATGTGTGAGTTATACCAAGAATGTGTGAGTTATACCAAGAATGTGTGAGTTATACCAAGAATGTGTGAGTTATACCAAGAATGTGCGAGTTAAACCAAGAATGTGCGAGTTAAACCAAGAATGTGCGAGTTATACCAAGAATGTGTCAGTTATACCAAGAATGTGTGAGTTAAACCAAGAATGTGTGAGTTATACCAAGAATGTGTGAGTTAAACCAAGAATGTGTCAGTTATATCAAGAATGTGTGAGTTAAACCAAGAATGTGTGAGTTATACCAACCACTTTCTAACATGTGTCTGTATTTTTAGCTCCGCTGCCGACTTTGTCGAGCGGAGCTTATCATATGAGTGATCGTCCGTCGTCCGTGTCAA